TAACTACGAGAAAGGGCGATTCGTGGACTTTATTCGACATCAAGGGCATTTGAAGGCGCATTTGTTGACTCCAGACAGTGTTTGGAATCTAAACCTGTAGATTCCAGCATGTGTCACATGTTTGACCCCATCGTGTTGACAAAACACGTAAATATGTGGAAAATCACAATGCACATGGGATCGGATGTACTATCATATTATATAGAGTAAAGCGGTGGAATAAATTCCATATTGGGATTTCTGCCATCGCGCAAGTTTCATTGGCGGCATGCGCATTTTACAGCTATTCCGCATTTTGTTGAATAGAATCCAAATGAGACGGCTTAATCTTTAGGAAAACCATCAGATATTTTGATTGCAGAATGGACAATTTTTGGTTTCCGTTGCCTCACATTTCAATTAGATCTATTCACATAGTGAATGATAAGGGCGAAAACTGGAGATACAAGAAGGCGTGGCCAATTCTAGGGTCTTTGGATGCTCTCTTTACATTTGCGCGTACAAAGGAACGCCATAATCTGACCGCAGCCAATTGAGCTACCGAAAGAGATTCCGGCTTGCCTGCAAGGCGGCGACCTTTGGTTTCTGCCTGATCGCCTTACGTACGGGATGGTCGTCTTCCGGCTGACTCATCTGCAGTCTTGCCTCCACTCTAGCCCTATCAGCTTTCTTATCAAACGAGGGCTTTTTGTAAAAGGTCCATTCAGGCTCGCTCCTCTTTTGACCTATGAAGCGGTGCCAAAGTAAATCAGGCCCTTGGATGTTGATGTTTTACCTAGCTAGACGTTGTTTTGTATAAGAATTGGTAGGCGCAGTTTAAAGTGAATCGAATTGACGTAGCGGCGAAGTTGTGAGGAAGCAAGTCACAACTTTTGAAAGCCTAAACGGGGACAAATGCATTGTTTAATGTAATATAACGTGCAGTGCACGGGGGTTTAGGAGGAGATCACAACTTTGCAAGAAGTTTGTATGCCTATACATATGACTGACACTCATGATATTAAGATACTAGACGGTGGAGGCCTGAGTAGCACCTGGAAGACACTTGAAGTAATCAGATTACACCGTGAAAAAGGATCCAGGCCTGCTAATCATCGGTGAGTCAAGGCTTCGAATGCAGCTACTGTTATGTAGGGAATCAAAAGTGCGCTCACATGCACACGCAACATGCACCAAATTGCACATCTCAATATTTGCAACAGCTGTTGGCTGCTTTGCGACTCATTTTGAGGCACATGATTCAGACACCGATCTGAAATTTGCCACACCTTGCCCGTCTCCATCTTTGTGTCGCCTGCTGTGAGACTTGGCCATCTGGCGATCTCTCTTGGTGGCTGCAGCTTTCTGCTGCGAATGTTGCACCTTTTTGGCTGTTTGCGCCCTGAGAGCGGCCTTTATGTCGTTGTTGCTTGCGCCATGCAGGACTTTGCCTTCAGTAAATTCCGAGAATCCATCTCCATCTGGCTCTTTTGACTCTTGCTGCCCCATTTCAATGCAAAAACGAAGAATTCGAGAACGAAATTTCAATGAAACCCTTCCAGAGCAGTACAAGAAAACTCGTCAGTAAAATATGTGATCTGTAGTAGAGCGCTTGACTGTTGTATGGATATCATATCCTGAATTGGGATGCCAACATTCAGAATCCCTACTGATATATTCCTCTGCTTAGCTTGCGTTCAAAGGAAGTGAGACGCCCTTAAGCCTGGCAGGCGATGACGAGCAGGTATGCGGTTAAAATTTATTCCTACCCATTATCCATTCATTCAATCCACCGCTACCTGCCTGCAACGCATGGACGCGTTGGGAAATAAAACAAGTTGAAATTCAAAAAAGGATCTATCAACTAGAAAATGAGGTATACACGGTAAATATAACTGCCCAACTGTCCTTAAATTTCTACGCTGCGAATTTTCAGGAAGGGAAGACGAAACGCCCACGCTATAATGTCGCAGTGTGGCTCATTGCCCAGTGAGCGGCATATGGATCAAAACATCTGTTAAGTCTCCAATTTGCATTATTGAACCAATAAAGATATTTTGGACACGAGTCCTTTCCACAGGTTGACAGCAGTATAGAATATTAACAACAATGCACAACCACTTAACAGCACACAACTTACGGATGGCGAGGAACAGCTACGCCATCTAAGTATATTATTTTGAGCAGCTTGAATGGGTTTCATATGTAGTAGGAAATTTGGAGAAGTAAGCTGCGCATTTTGAGATTTTGGGGCGTTTTTCAGCACACAGCAGAGCAGAAATGAAAATAACAGAAATGGTGGCTGATTGCCGCCAATTTTTCAGCCGCTTGGACGGCCCCAGAAGATCTGCATCTGTGTAGAGTATTTCCGTACGTAAAGTGAAGAAGTGGAAATCCTGTAAGACAGTTATCATAACTGTACATAATGTACGAGCTTGCTAACATACGTTGAAAACACAAAGCTCCATCGATGAAGTGCACAATGACATAAAACCTTTGGGTGAAGGTATAACGCGTGCGTTCCGTGGAAATAACGTCCCGCACCAGAGGACAATGCATAGTATTTGGATTTTGGGTTACCGCAAGCATTTCATAGCCACGAAATCACACCTCAGTTCCTTAAGCCACACAACTCGGAGCGACCAAAGGTTCCAGCGCCCGGATTTCTAGCAGCCCCAGATGGAGAAAAACCAGTTCGACATACCACGCAAAGACAAGAAGGTCCCGCAGTTCTGTTTTCGAGAAAAATTTGAGGAAATGTTTCTCCTATCATCCGCAATATCCTCCCATAAGGTTCTTTCAACGAGATTGTCAAGCTTGGATGCATATCAACATTTTATGGGTGACTTTTCGGGCAGCCCGGAAGAGCCACAATGTGAATGTTGAGCCGTGCTACACTTTCTTCCAATCCACATCAAATTTCCTCGTCCTGCAATTCACGTGCTTGGGAACCACTTCCCAGAGGCCCCAACACACCCGTATCCGCAATGCGCACTGTCTGGCGGTCTCCGCCGTTTGCGCGTCCTCGCGGCCGCCTCTCAGCCCATCAGCGTTGACTGGTTGCTGACTGTGTTTTGGGCTGCGACTGTATGTTGTCCTTCAGTCCGAGTCCAGCAGACGAGCGTACTTCGTGGCTAGTCGCTGGCGCCAGACCACTGCGGACGCCACAGGGGCTTGGGAGCCAGGTTGCTGTTTCTGAGGAGTCGCGCCCGTTTCTGTCCTTCCGGTGTCCAAGGTCGTCTTTGGGCTGGCTGCAGCAGCAGGGCAAAAGCATAGGCGATAATCACCGCGCTGGCATGGCGATTCCAGCAAAGAGACATGCATGCACGGATGGATGGCAGTGACTTGGGGCGGGGAAATTTTCCAACGAATTCTTTACCTTCGCCACTCACCTCGTCGCTGCAAAGTGCCAAGGGACTTAGGGCTTATTGGCCTGTGCTTCTAGACTTAAAAGTAAATGGACAGTGCCTTATTCTTTTCGTCAAATTCTTTCATGGCACAACATCAGAGAAGCTCCGAAATCATGGCCATGCGTCCCAAAGACATGGCGTCTTGCTCCAGAGAGTGCTGAAGCGGAACAGCTGGAATACGTGAAATGGCACAGTACGATGAAATCCGAGCGAAGCGTTTAGGAACCACATGTCAGCCCAATACGAGAGCAAGTTTGCACAAGTGCCAGAAACATTGTCAGCAAAGGCAGAGGCCAACGTATCCCCAGTAATACACGTATTACTGGGGAATGTACATTCAGGATGGAATAGAACAGCAATGCGCTTGGGGGCAGGATCCCTTCGTTGTCTCAGCGGATTCGTAATTTGCAAAAAGCAAGATAAGCACCCCTTCGGGAAGGCGTCTAGATTCTGGCACATGTGCTGCTCTTCCATCACTTTGGCGGCATAAGGAATGGAATTTTTGCTGTGGTGTTTTGCACATTTGCCCGCCAAAATCACTGGAATACAATCAAAACATGTAGACTAGAGTGGAAAGTCTGTAACGTAATAATTATGGTGTATTATCAAGAGGACAGCTAGAATTTTTCTGAATGTGCTGTTTTCACGGTGGATATGGGGAAGCTCTGCTAACCACTGCAGTACATTTGCTGTATTGCTGTTGCGCAGTGCGCAGCTCCAGTGCAGGCGCAGGTACGGTGCAGCTCATCAGAAAGCACAGACCCCACGAGCGTAGGGCAGCCCGCTGGAAGTTCGAGACCACATATCTCTTCCGGAAACGCTCGCGACGGTCATATTTAATAAGTTAATAAAGTTTTTGTGGGTGAATAACGTCCACTTCAGGTCATAGACACCAGTCGAATGGTTGTCACGTGAGTGCAAGCAGCATCAACGCGGATTTCAGATGAGACACAGCATCGAGGCCTGCTGCAATAGCTGCACAGGGCGCATCAATTCGCAGTTGAAATTCGATTCAATTTCAGGTTCAATTTCACTTATACTGCATTGCCTTTCCAGCTGTGTGGACGAGCTCCTGATGCTGTCGGCTGGCAGCACGCATCACTGAGGGATTGTGGCTTTGGGGGCACAATGTACTCATTTGATTTCCGACAGCACAGCGTGAGCTGCCAACGTGGTGCAGAATGTGTGCCAAACAAACGGGGGCCTCCGCTGGGGACCCTCACACCATTTGACAGCTGTGCTGCTGGGGCGCAAGTTGAAAACAGTGTTAACTTCAAGGAAGATGGACCTGGCTGCTCTTGTCGTCCTGCTGGGATCGCGTCATCACCACCTGCACCCCACTCAGTGGCCAGTGTGCCTGACCACGCAGATGCCTTGGGAGGAGTGTGAAGCATTGCTAAAGACTTCGTCATGGCCCCGTGGGCGCGGTGTGGATAACCACCCTCGGCGCCGCTCGTCCTCGAGTCGCCTCCGCGCAGGCCTGCCACCCTGCGACCTTGCGGACGCGCGGCCCTGCAGCAATCCGCGCGCGCCAGCGTCTGCCGCAGCCCGGAGCCCACTGGGACGATTTGATCGGCGCGCTGGGGGCCTCATCGCGTGAATATCGACGGGATGGAGAATCCGCTCAAGGCACTGAGTCCATCACAGAAGCGCGTTTTGGCGGTGAGGGGGAGATGCTGTCCGGTTGCGCCCCTGCTTACAATCTGGCATGGATCACGTCGGGTCGAGTCTCAGGCAAACTGCCCGTGCAATCCATCGACGATGCTGGCTTCCTTTCTTTCGCCCAGGTGGTGTTGTTGGGCGGGGGCTGCTCTGCGGCGTCGTACCTTGGCCACGAGATCGCCAAGGCTCAGGCGGAACAGAAAGAGCTCGCCGCGGACCTCGAAAAGTCTAACGGTCGCAAGAAATCAAGGATCGCAGTGGACAGGGTGTTTGCGCGGAGGCTGCTGCGCATCTTGTCCATGTGCGTACGCTGAGGTTGCGATGAAAACCTCACATCTGCGCACCCTCCAATGCAGCCAAGGTGGTTGTTGTGCGACGGGGGGCTGCATCGAGTGGATGGTGTAACTTGCAGCTGCCACTGAGCGATTTGGCTGGAACTCAAGCACTGATCAGATTCCGAAATGGAGCTAACAGTTGGCCTCTTGTACCTTCTATGCCTATGGCATTGTGTGATTGATCCTCATGCAGTTGTGCTGTATACTACAGACACAGCCCAGCCACAGCCCAGAAGTCACGAAGCTCCATTTCTCCTTGGTCTTGTCTCAATGTCATACCCCAGACAAGTGTAAGTTTACCTGCTTTGGCTGCGAGCCCAAGCTGACAGTCGGTGTTCTGTCCTTGATCCCCTTAGATGCATTCCATCGCCGTTTTCGAAAGAGGCACTTCTGGTATTGTTCCAAGGGGGTCTGCTGTTCTCAAGAACACTGCTGACACTGCGGATGTCACGATCCGAGGGCAAGGCTGGCAGAGCCTTGGTGACGTTGGTGAGAGCAAGCACTGGTGTTCATCAAAGCTCAGCAACTCTTGCGTAGCCAAAGGGCCAGCAAGTAAATATAAGAACCCAGTTGTGGGTGGGTTTGTGTTTGTCTCTGGGCCTGTGTTTGCATGCTGCTGTGGTTTTGGAGCAGCATATTATCATCTGTTTTCTGCTCTAGGAAATATGTGCCGATTGGTAGCTGGCACACCTGCTTTGTAGCTCCATTGTAGCTGCCGTGACGCTGAGGCATAAGTCAATTATTGTCTGGGATTGGAAGTATTTGCATCTATTCAGTGCTAATCAAAGGTGTACTAGGGAAGTGCTTTCCCCTAGCACAGCCTGGTGAAGTCTTCTTGTTGCCCCAGTGGGGTGTTGGACAAGCCCTGGTAGGATAGACTTACCAGGAATGACAAGAGCTGCTGGATTTGACAGAATTATGCAGATCTTGATGACAACGACACAGTGGTGCAATAAGTTGCACGCCAGATAGCCTTGTCTGCTGCTGGTCGCTTTTCCTGCATGCCCAACTACTGTGCCCTTCAGCAGTCAACAGACTGCCCCTTGAGCTAACGAATAGCTGTAAGATACCAGGATGTGTTGGCCAACCTTCCACTGTACATTGCTTGCAAGTGTTGATTGCTCTGACTTTTGCTTGGCAAATCTGCCTACCAGAATGAATGAGGGTATGTAGTTTGCCACTTGTGCCAGGTGAAGGTGAATCAATGCGGAAATAGTACAGGTCATGAGTAGTGAGTCACCAGGAGTGTCAAATTGCTTTTGGTTTGGGCAGGAGCTGGAGACGTTCTGGAGAGAGGTCTTGAAGTTTGGGGCCATTGGAATTCCAGCGGCCCTTGTCAATGCTGGTTTAAAGTACATGCAGAAATACATTCAGCAGGTCTTCCAGGAAAGGGTGACTAAGCATTTGCACCTTCACTACTGCAGCAACCGTGCATACTATGCTGCATCCACTCTTGGAGGTGTGTGGAAAGGACGATTGCCCCCTGCTGTCCAGGTGTTGCTCATCTGACTACCATGGGCTGCTTCATCGAATTGTCGTTTCTATTCTGGAACCAGTTCATTCATGGCACCTATCTTTTGGTGTGATTCTTCTCTTGTGTCTGTTTGTCCCATATCTGCTGTACTGATATGCACGCCCTCTGTGGCCTAAATCCGCTTTGTTGCAGTCTAAGGAACCAACTTTGTATTATATTGGTTTGACTTCTGCAGAACAAATGGAAGACGTTGGCGGTACGGGCATGAATATTGAACCAAAAGGAATTGTGTATGGCTAGTGTTGCCAGATTGATCACAATCAAAAGCAGATTGTGGTTGCGATGGCAGTGGTATGGCACTGCCTACATCGATTTGGGCTTGTTCTTGTGACGATGTGCGTTGCCCTTGTCATGTTGTGCGATCCTGTGGGCGTACAGCGTGGGAACGGTCACAACTTTGCAGCATTGGACTATCGCCTTGAGCACTGTTAGTATCTGTTGAGGTCATGTGCGGCATGTTCGGGTGTCTGCTCAGCACCTCCATCGAGATGTTATGATATGCACTTCTGCCAGTCTTGACCTTGCAACTCACCAAAGGCCATTTGGAAAAGGCAACATTTGGCTGTTGTGGTGGCATGGCGCATGGGACTCCAGCCCTTTGCGGCTTCAATGGAATATAGATTTATCTGCTTGGCCCAGGTAGCTGCTTTGCTACTCTGGAATGGAATAGCGAGTTGACAGGAGTGAATGTGACTGTGCCAGAAATGTGCAGCAGCAAGGAGTATGACAGAGCACCATTACCTTCTGTTTTGAAGCCACAGTTGATGGGAAGTTTGGTTATTGATATGGACCATGCTGTTCCTGCACAATGCTTGCACTTTTTGTTGTTACCAGCAAACTGTGCACGTGTCACAGGAACCGGTCCCTGGGAATCTGATGTCAAACTGGACATATGTTTTTGGCAAAGCAATGCCAAAGTTCTAATGTGTATGTGCCTCTTGGATAGGGCTCACCCTTGCTGACCAGAGGATCACAGAGGATGTAGAGAAGTTTGCTGATGCGATCAGTGAGCTGTACAGCTACACATTAAAGGTGCATGGGCTGATTGTGTGCTGGGCAGTACAATATGGGTACAGGTTTTTCCATCCACAAGATCCCATCCCGCACCTCCTTGATTCATATCGACTAAATTAGATTCCGCCAACAGTGGTCCTGCAGTGGAGAAAAGCAACCAGAGGCTCAGTTTCTTATTGAAGAGAGGTGTTCAGTAAACATGGAAAGATACACGTGCAGCCTTAGTTGTTTGCACTGTCGATGAAATGCTCTGTTTGCTGGCACGGCGTTCTTCATGGTTTGCCACATGTGCCATCCACTATCTTTGAGAACATGAACAGCACTGCGATCTTCTTGTCCTGGCATGTTTCCTGAGCATTCAGTTGTGTACAGTGGATGTGCACTGGCCAGGCGACTGTTAGGGGCTGCTGTGCTTGCAGAGAAGTTTGTGCACTTCATCCAGGGACTTGGACTGTCCAGTTTCTCCAACAATTATTCCATACTGTAGTTCATAAAGGAACTTTGGCAATGTTTTGCCAACCTCAACAGTCTGTCCAGCATTCCTTGTGCTTTCCAGAAGGCATTGTTGAGTGTGTTTCAACATGGTGGACAGGCTGTGTGTGCTTACTACTGTGCATTATTGTGTTGCAGCCTCTCCTGGATGTCGTGCTCTTCACTCGAGCATTGGCACCAGTGATGGGTTACCAGACACAGCTGGGGCTGTATTTGTATTATGTTTGCACAGCTCTAATTCTCAGATCGACAAGTCCACCCCTGGCAATGATGGTTGCTCAGGAGTCAGGCTTGGCAGGCTCTTTCAGAAGCGCACATCAGGTGGGTCAGGGACTCAGTCAGTGGATGGGATGCCAATGGCCTTTACAAGATTGCCAGGCCCAATGCGTCCATAACACTGTGTGCAGAGTGCCTTCTGGATATCGCTCTGTTATGCAGCTGGGCCTGTTTGGGAAAATGTGAAGGTCACGAACTTGCGTTTAATGTTCCGTTTCATAGCACTGGGTTCAGGCGCTGCAAGATTAAGAGCAAGATGGACTCACCTTGCTTGTGAAATGCGCAGAGGTTTTGGCAGATGTTGATTACCTTTACATGCCTGTAAGGCCACATTCATTGTGCAGCTTGATTTGTGGATGTGTCGCTCAGATTTCTGTCAAACTACTTACCTGCTAATGCAGCTGAAGCTACTTCTGACCGCATCACGCTCGTGCATGATGCCTTCATAGTCTACGCTTTGTGTTTGTACTTGCCTGAAGGCCCGCCAAGTACACTACAGTGAGACCACTGAGCTCTGGACAACTGTAGTGGGCTGCACAACACACAACTGTGCACCATTCCAGCCAGTGTATCTTAGTGTGCTACACTAAGTACTAAGTACACTAAGTACACTAAGTACACTACAGTGAGACCACTGAGCTCTGGACAACTGTAGTGGGCTGCACAACACACAACTGTGCACCATTCCAGCCAGTGTTTCTTAGTGTTTCTTACTGTGCTTGTTAGCTGTTGTGTCCCAACACAACAGTGATATTTGGTTGGTGTGATGCAGAGGCTGGTTGCCAACGCTGAGGAGGTGGCATACAATGATCCACCTGGTGGTGCAACAGAACAACTTGTGCTGAACCAGCACCTGCACAGGCTGCTGCGCTACACTGAGCTCTCTGCGTTTCAGAGGTTTGTGTACAAGGTAAGCTGCTCCAACATCGCTTACTTTTGGGGAGCAGATGGAGCTGTGCAAGATCCCCTGGCACTGGCTGCAGGGTAGATAGTATCTTGGACATGTTCATGGTGCTTTCGACGCCTGCCAGAATGTCTGGAGCGGTGTTGATTTGCCAGGTTCGCATGTGGTGCATGCTTGTCTAATTGCTTCAGTCTCTGGAGACTCGTATTTTTGTCCAACGATGTGGGAATCATGTACATACCGTGGAGCATGTAGTATGGGTGTCCCTTTGTCTGTTGCTTATTCAACGCTGGCGTGGAATTTTTCTTGTCACCAGATGACTGAGGGCTATTTGGTGAAGTATTTCGCCTCCTGCATCACACTCCTGGTGTACGCTGTCCCCATTTACTACCAGGCCCCTGAGATGCGCCAGTCTCAGGACCAGCTAACTCAAGATTACATCAGGGCCATGCGTCTCCTGCAGAATACCTCCAGGTAATCATGCAAACGCCCAAGCAACAGGTAGACAACTTTATCTACTCACCAGTTCTCACCATCTTGCTCAAAAGCGAGGTCCTGGCACAGTCCATGTGATGGCCTCAATGGCATGTACTGGGTATGTGCCTGTGCATCGGCTGTGTGCCAACTAGCACATCGAGCACGTGGGTGTGCTAGCTTCAAGAATGGAAGTTGTGATTGGGTGCGCAGCAAATGGCTGGGGTTTTGCTTGGCTTCCCATCATGATGTTGCACATCTTCTGCCTGTGTGGAATATTCTGCAAGTCAACAGCATGTCTGTATTCATGTTCCTATTTTGAACATAATCCGTGCACCTGGGCATTTTCAGGACAGGTTGCACAACTGAAGAGCTTGGTTGGCTTGGCAAATGTTTGCACACCAGATTTTTGTTACTGGTGTATTGCGAAAGTCCATTAATTGCATTTGCCAGAATAGCCTTGACAAACTAAACCCTTGCACCTTGCAGGCGATTACTGTGTGGGTGTGTTGAGGCAGCTACAAGGGTTTCAGCACATGATCACAGCCCATAGAAGATATGGCCAGTGATTGTTTATTTGCACATGCTTGCTAAGCAGCTGGTATTCGGATGCAGGGGCATTGGCGATCTGATTATGGTGTACAAACGAGTGACGACCCTTTCAGGTCACACATCAAGGGTCTCTGAGCTTCTAGAACAGGTACAGTGTGGCAGAGATGGGATGCCAGATTTTTGTGAGGCAGCCATCTCGTGCAGTGGAGCCATGTGGAGTGGGTCATTGTACTTTGCAGCTCACTTGCACATGTAGATGGAAGTGCTCTTATTTTGAGACATGGTATCCTGATCCTCGAACAACCATCACAGACATGTTAATGCGCATGTGTTGGCTTGTACTTGCTGGCGTGCTGCCACGTGGTAGCAGACAATATGTTGCACAACTGACGGTCAGCGTGCGGCGCACTTTCCTGCCTTGGAATGCAGGTTGAGCAATTGAGTTCTGCAGATGCAGAGCATAAGGACCTTTTCCTGAAGAACATTTCTGCGACTGGGGAGGCAGCAGGAATGGACAACCTTGCCACAGGTATTGGCAAATAACGGAGGTCTACAGACCTCAAGTTTGATTTGGGAAATTGGGATGAACCAACAGCGCCATGTTGCTCAGCCGATGGAGATGCAGATGACAAAGATTTGTAGCATTTCGCCATGGGCTGCTGTCTGACATTCTGTAGTTGGCGGTGCGGCAGCGCACTAAGTCACAGTCCATGGTGTGTGCAACTGCATGTGCAGCAGCTTCATGCAACATATCTGTCAGTGACCGAAGTATTCTGCAATCCCGATGACCCACAATACCACATGGCAGCCTCTGTTGTTGCTGGCCAGAGCTCAAGAGTTACCGATCCACATGCTGACTAACGTCGACGTCGTGTCTCCCAGACCAACTGGGACAAAGTTGACCATCTGCATTGTGCCCAGAATTGCCCAGAATCGACCCAGAATGGTTCGCCAGCCATATCACAAGCCTCTTCAGCTTTGTGTCTACTTGATAATCCATTCACTAACAGCTATGTCCTATTTTCATCTATGAGCTTGATATGTGTTTGTCGTACGCACAACATAAAAACTTTTTGATGCCTGCAATTCGCCTGGTTGCACGGAATGTGCCATAGTTGAATGTTGAATTTCACGCGTGTATTTGACCAATGCCAGAATTACTAGCAGGTTGTGCCTTTGCCTCAGTCTTGCTTGCCTCATTGCTGTTGCTTGCCCGTGGTACAGGTCTGGGTATGGGCTCCGGTGCAGATGTTGTGGCCCCAAGGCGTTTGGTTGGCGATGTGATAAAGTTTCATCGTTTGGCTCTCAATGCCCCAGATGGCACACCCCTCATTCGGGAGTTGTCGTTTGAAGTGAAGCCTGGTCAGTCTGTCATCTTGATGGGACCCAATGGCAGTGGCAAGTCATCTCTTATGAGGGTATTGGCTGGGTTGTGGCCACTCATGGTGAGTGACAGCACTACAATACAGCCGAATATTTACGAACCAGCAGGGTGATGTCTAGGAATCGTGGCTGCATTTAGCATCCCTTAGGTAGACACTTGGTGCACTTGCAACTCGCGCCGTATGTGGGGATGTTGACACCATATGTTGTCAATGTGGTGCTTGTGCACACTCGATTCGCTTCTGTTGCCAAATTCCGCAATGATTGGTGGTTGCCAAAGTATGACAAAGCTGCACGGTTGTGCCCTGGACTGCACGCATCCATAGAGGCTCATTCCCTGTTTTGCTTGGATCCTGCTTGTCAGGTAGCGCCCCCAAGTACTGCAGGGTGACTAGCTTCGCATTTCTGTGTGTTTTCAGTGCTGACCCTTCTCATTTAGTTGGTGGAGAACTGTTGCCTGAAATGCTGACTGCTTGTATGTGTCATAGGCTGGTGAGATCACCACACCTGCCAAGCACGACATGTTCTACCTGTCCCAGAAGGCATACCTTGTGACGGGCTCGCTGAGGGACCAGCTGCTTTACCCCGACCCTCCCCAGATGGTTTGGAGGACAGCTAGAAGGGAAGACAAGTAGGCTAATGTCACCAACTTTTGTGCTGCCGTTTGCCACAACCATGTTGGGTCGCAGGCTGAAGAACCCCCTGCGGAAGTGTGGAATACATGCGGTACTATTTGTAGTGTAGCACCACAGGCCAATGGTTGCGGTTATTGGTCGATGGGGCTACGGGACAGACAACAATGCATAGCTGCTTTTCCAGTTTGTTGGTTTGATTCTGGAAGCAGTTATTGGTACAGCAAAACTGGAGCCAAAGGCATCAGCTGGTGCTGCTCCCAATTCACTACGGCGTTATAAAATCCAACGCCCTCATTTGATGCACTACAGAGCATCTCAGGCATATGCACCCACAAACGTTTGACGCACAGCACCCTGACGGCGTAGCCAAATTGTGCAAATCTCGTTAGAATGGCAAGTTGCATGGCTATGCACCTGCCTGACGGGGTACCGAACACCATCAGATTCAGTTGCAGCATTGCTTGTGGAGCAACCGTGGCATGCGAAAATGAGTTGATATTTTCTGCGCCGCTCCGGGATCAGGCGCCATTTCGTCAACGTGCGAGGCCGTGCCCCCACAGCCGTTGATGATTCGAGGCTGCTGGAGTGCCTCGAGCTTGTGGAGCTTGGATACCTGGTGACAAGGGGGAAGGGCTGGGAACAAGTTCAAAAATGGGAGGAGACGTTGAGCGGCGGGGAGAAGCAGCGCATTGCAATGGCCAGGCTCCTCTTCCATCGCCCCAAATATGCCATATTGGATGAAGCCACCAGCGCGGTGAGTACACAGCCACAGTGAGGGCCGCTGGCTCTCACGCACCTAAGTTGCGAGAGGCATGCAGGAGACGAAAAATGTGCGTCTTTCTCCTCTTGTTTGCATTCTCATGTTGGGTCACAGGATGTTGGATTTTCCATGGATGGGTTGCATGGAACTGGGCTGAAGCAGTTCGAATGGAAAGAAATGGAACCCGTTAAATAAAATGCCACCACAAGTCCAGTGCCGATGAGGTTTCGCGGTTTGAAGTCAGATTTGCATGTTGTCTAATAGATATTATGATACTTGGCCTCATGCTGACACAGCAAAGGCGTCATTCGTCAGTGATGTGGAAACTTTCATTCCGCTCGCCAGTCGCCGGTGGCATTATGGAACAGAAATGCCCTGCAAAAAAAGAGGCCCAGATTGTTGCGAGGGGATCTCCACTGCGTTGGCGGTGCTGGGGCTCGTGTGGGGGGGGACAGCGTGTGGTCAATGAATGCTTTGCGTGCAGCAGTGTTTCGTTCCTTGCGTGGATGGGGATTGCCTTGCAGCCACGCCAGCTACGAGTCTGCAAGTGGCTATTTGTCGTGCGGTAATGGGGGCGATTCGATCTGTGGGCAGCGACCCGTGCTGCTGTTGTTAATACGGGTGACTTGTACACCTGCAAGGCAATGAAGGCCACCCAGTATGCTTTTGTTTGATGTTGTTAGAAGCACTGTCGAGTGGAATATTTCTGTGGGCGTTAGCGATGAATGCAGTGTATTCATTGGCATCATTTCAGTTGGCTGTTTACATGAGTGCTGAAGCGTTGTTGCTGTTGCTCTCACGGCAGGTGAGCGCTGATGGCGAGCAGAAGCTTTACGAGGCGTGTCTCAGGGCTGACATTACACTGCTCTCCATAGCACATCGGCATTCGGTGAAACGATTTCATTCTTTAGTGATAAATTTCGACGGCAGTCAATCTGGCAATGGCTGGAGCATTGAAGAGTGACGGCGGCAAGAGTCTCCATAGAGCTGCAGTGTTGGTCGGCGCTCAATGTTCCTCATTTCCAATTGTTGCGGCTTCCCATGGGCAGACAATCGTGCTGCTGAATGGGAGTGCTGGCGATTTCTGCTGAATTCATTGCTGGTTGCCCTGTGGTGTATGTATTATAGTCTTCCCCTGATCCTGGCCTTCTCGCTTCCATTCTCGGGCTGTGTCGATGCGATGACGATATCTCTTGAGTACATGGGAAAGCACTTTCAGCATATATATACTTTTAGGAATAGTCAGCATGGCCAGTCTGGCCATTCGGGCGAGGATAAGCTCTTGTGCATTCCCCCCTAGCAATCCCGCAGATGCTCGTTGTTGCTTGGGTGGTATGTCCGTTCGCCTCCTCTTGCCTGGTCTTCCACAACATGCACCCTTCCCTAAACGGCGGAGTTTTCCCCCCAAAGCTTTGCAAATATGGCGTGCTAATTCCTGCGGAATTCCGAAATGCCCACAAAAAGCCAGTGCACTAGGAATTGTTTCGAAGGACAGCCGCACATCGGCGTACACATGAAAGTGAATTGTGGTGCAATTCAACGCTTGATGATGCCGGTAGTGAGTGGCACAAAGTGGCAACAAGTTGCAAGGGCTGCGGCAACGCTGAGGACAGGTCGAATCAACAATAGGCAGGCGATATTGTTGCAGGCTGCCCGTTGGATGGCAATCGGGCAGTCACCTTGTACAAAGCGCTCACTTGGTGACCATCGGCATGGTGTTGCCTTCATGTGACTGGCCTAATCAGCATCATCATTGAGAGATCTGACGTATCAATGCGAGGAAGTACCCATCAGCTCCGTTCTCGCCCGAGCAAAGCCGTGTCAATGGTTTGTCCCACGACAGTCCTCAAGATATTGCCACAATCTAACCACTGTTATTACAACAATAATCACGCATCAGAGCACATAAATTCGCAGAATTCGGCATGGCCAAACCGGCCAGTGATGGCAGCAGCAGACTGGCCCAGTCACAGCAGTCCTGTCAGACCGGGCCCCAACACTCGACGCCTTCCAATTTGAGGGTAGGTCGCCAATCGCAAAGTAGGGCTGCGGCTCGGCAACACTGCTTCCTTGGCGGTGTAGAACACGGCCTCTCGGCACCTTTTTCGCTTTTTCCGCATTCACCGCTCAACGGGCGAGCCGCGCGTCCTGTGCCGCGGCGACCGCGGCTGCTCGCGATGGGCCGCGGCGACAGCCCCGCCTCGTCGCCGCGCCGGGACAAGAAGGAGCGGAGGGAGAAGCACAGGCACAAGCACAAGGACCACGGCCGGGATCGCGACAGGGACGGCAGGAGGGACAAAGACAGGGAAAGGGTGCGCCGGGGGGTGGGCGAGCTTTCTTCGCGCGGCCGCCGACGCATCGGGGGACGGCCTGTGGGGCGAATGGCGCTGCATTGGCTCCGGGCGCTCGCCGCTTGCGTTTATGCGATTCCAATTGTGCAGGAGGGCGACCGACGTGACCGGGGAGACCGCGGCAGGGGGAGGGAGCGAGGGAAGCGTTCGGACAGGTGGGGCCCCCTCTTGCCGTGGCGTTTTGCTGGAGAGAGAGCTTAATGGCTGCGGCCGAATGACCGTTTGGGACAATTGAGGTGGCGTCGCTGAGACCCGGTTTTGGGAGACCTTGTTCTTGTGCAGTGGAGGCAGAAGGGCGTTGGGTAGGGGCGCAGACGGGCCAACCTACTACCCCCGCCTTTGCTTTCCCAGACAAAGCCTCCCTGCCCAGTTGTCAACTGCGGGTTTATCCGTATGTGGAAAACAAGAGGGGTGGGTGGGTGCTTCCTTCCTGTCCTTAAAGATGGGTGTACCAGTGCAGATTACTGCCCTGTCATCATCCGGCGACTTGTGCGCCCACCGCTTTTGAAATGGTTCGGGATCCCCCGAAGGGAGGTGTGTGTTAGATTAAGGCTGTGTTCTGTGCAGTCCTAAAAAAGTGCTGCACTGTGGTTTGGGGCTGTTGACAGTTGTATGGTGGCCATCTCTTGGTACTGTACAGGAAGCAGCTGGTGGTTCAAGATGGAATTTTGTACGAACAGACGTTGTGAATCGGAATGAGCCATCATGTCTGTGACGACGTGGTGTCCCAGCTATGCACAGCACGTCAAAAAGTCTGCTGTATTTTTGTGCCCTTTTGCTGGGTGTATCTAGAAATCATTTCTTTCCCATGCAGTTTGGTTTGAAGAGAGTGGCAGTTCTGTGATGGAGGGAATCACATGGAACGTTAGAGCAGGATTTGTTGTCAGGGGTTTATACTACTGTGGAGGTTAGAGCAACTTGCTGCCTGGTTAATGTTGATCATTTGTCTGGATTTTCGTGTCTCTATCATCGTTGCATCAGTTGTGTTGGGTCCTGGTCCCGCGAACACCAGCAGTCTTCCATAAAATTTGCTCAACTACCTCCTACATCCCGGAAGATGTGGGGTGGGATTGCTTGTCTAGACGAGGTCCTCAACAGAGACAGTATTCCTTTCAACGATTTTTGAGGGCCTGTGGCAGTCACTGTTCATCTGTTTTGAGTGTTGACCGTCTTTCAAAGACAGTGCTGCCTTGAATGCACCATTCATCTGAGTTCTTGACATCAATTAGTACCAGCTGCAGATTTACAGCCTGTCCAGTCGATGGGCCTTTTGTTGCCAGTACACACATTCTTGACTCTGCTGTCCTGGTGCTGGGTCCTGAAATTCCCATATGTATGTTGGGAGGAGATGTCAAGGATCCTGCCTGTTGCTGGGACATATATTTTGCACTGCCAGTAAACAGAATGTCCTAGAAGAAAAGCCGTTGGCTACCTAGGCTGTTGGAATATCAGTGTTGTGGAACAAAATACCCATCCAGATTCGTGGTCTGTTGGCTGCAAAAACTCACAGATCAGGATGTCAACAACATGCTCACAATATGGCACAACAATCTGGTGACAGATGCAACTGCTGTCGATTGGTGCTGCAATAGCAGTTCAAGGATGGGCAACTTAAGCTGCAAGGAGATTTGCCAGTTGCTGCCACAGGCAGTGGTGATTTATCTGCGTTTGTGCGTTCTCTGTGTTCCTGAGAGGGAGCTGATGGTTGTGCAGGGCCGATGACCGTGAACAAGGCAGCAGCCGTGATAAATACAGATCGCAGGAAAGGGATCTGTGGGAATATGACAAGCGGAACAGGGGTAGGGACAGGGACAGGGACTCCCGAAGTTATGAAAGGTCCAAGGGCCGCAGTGGGGGGAGAGACATGGACCAGGATGGACGTGAGCGCAGCAAACACAAGCGGGACAAGGCGCACTCCCCAGATGGGCGTGAGTTGAAGCGGAGACGAGAGGACCGGCCTGAAGCACTGACCCGCGAGGAGGAAGAAAAACGTAAACTGGAGGAGCAAGCACGGCAGGAGCAGGAAATGGTGGAGAAACGCAGGCAGCGGGTGACCATGTGGCAGGAGCAGCAGAGGAAGCTTGCCGAACAGAGAGAGGCGGAGATTGCCAAAGAGGAAGAGGCGATGAAGAACAAAAAGAAGTGGTCGTTGGAGGACGACGATGATGACGACGACATGGAGGCGCAACAGGGTGGTGGGAAAGATGGAGCAGGGGTCCAGGGGGGATCTGCACCTGATGCGGATATGGAGGCGGATGCTGACCCGCTGGATTGTTTCATGGCGAACGAGATCATTCCACAGGTGGACATAGATGTTCAGGATGCGATCAAGGCTGGGGAAGAAGCCCAAGTGGAGGCGCCGGTTGATGTTGTGATGGAGAATGGAGGAGAGAAGGCTGAGAAGGCTGAGTCACTGGGTGGGGAGGAGAAGAGGGGGAGGAAGGAGAAGAAGGAGAAGAAGGGGAAGAAGGAGAAGAAAGGCGTGTTCAATCCATACGATACGGACACATCTGAGGACTGGGATGAGGACGAGGAGGAGGAAGAGGTTGAAGAGGATGATGAGGTGAGGCTGTTAAACCTTCTGAAGAGGAGAGGGTGAATGCTGTTAGCAAAACTGTCTGCTGTTTTGGTTGGCCCCATTCGAAAACAGCACACCATCTATGTTAGATTGTCTTCCCATAGCTTTTGGCCAACTCCATCATGAGAATAGACAAGGCAGCACAGAAAGTGTGCTGTCAATCAGTCTGTGTGCATGGATTGAGTGGTACTTGGTGGTGCTGTTTGGTATAGGAATGGCTTCGAAACCTCCGTGCTGGGAAACTGAGCAAGGGGGACAAATTGACTCCTGTGGATCATGCTGGAGTGACTTACTCCCCCTTCAGGCGTGACTTCTATGTTGAGGTGCCAGAGTTGTCCAAGATGACAGAGGAGGAAGTTGATGAGCTGAGGTGTGAGCTTGAGGACATAAAGGTCGCAGGCAAGAACGTCCCAAAACCTGTGAAGACGTGGACCCAGGCCAGCCTCAGTACCAAGGTCCTTGATCTTCTTCGAAAAAGTGACTTTCACAAGCCGCTTCCCATCCAGGCCCAAGCGCTGCCTGTCATTATGTCAGGGCGTGACTGCATGGGAATCGCTAAGACAGGCTCTGGCAAGACTTTGGCTTTTGTGCTGCCCATGATACGGCACATCTCAGACCAGCGACCACTGCAGCAGGGCGAAGGTCCGATCGGACTCATAATGGCTCCCACAAGGGAGCTGGTCCAGCAGATAGGCAAGGAAGTGAAGAGGTTCTGCAAGGTGTTGGCGCTGACGTGCGTGTGCGTGTTTGGGGGGTCTGGTGTTGCGAATCAAATCAGCGAGCTGAAGCGGGGCTGTGAAATCGTGGCCTGCACCCCAGGCCGGATGATCGACCTGCTGGTGACAAGCAATGGGAAGATCACGAACCTCAGGAGGGTGACATACTTGGTGCTGGATGAGGCAGATAGGATGTTTGACATGGGTTTTGAGCCACAGATTACAAGGGTGGTGAACAACATACGGCCAGATCGGCAGACTGTGATGTTCTCAGCAACATTTCCTCGACAGGTGGGTGTGGCATTTACCATGCAATGGGAATGATACCAGTGGCACAGATCATGCTCACACTTCATGCTATCGAGTTTGCTGCACACGCATTGGGTGTGGGTGTCTAGCTACTCTGGTTCATCCCTATTTCAAACTGTCATCTTGCATGGCGCACTAAGAAACCTGCACCTCATGGGATTAGTCGTGTCGAATGCTGTGATCCTGGTTGGCATGCGTGCAGTTGTATATTGGTGTTGACCAGCAGTCTTTCGTTGAGTCATGCTGCACCTATAGGTGTGTACAAGGGCGTCCTTCGCACACCCGCTCTGTAGTCTGAAGAGCACTGGTAAGGCAGGTCTCCCCAGCGGCGAACTTTCTGATGAGTTAAATGGTGCACTCTCTTGGGAAACACAGATCTTTGCGCAGGGCACATGCAGGGGTGCAACTGTTGCATGTGTTGGCGCTCGTTGTGGGTGTGTGGTGCATGGTATGGTATAGTTGAACACTGGAGGACAGATCATGTGTGCTGTGGGGTATGAGTGCATGCATAATAGAGTGCTTTAATGTCGGCAGACCAGCATACTGATTCATTGTTTTGTTGTTGATCTGCTGTGTGCGCACAGGTGGAGCTGATTGCAAGGAAGATATTGACTGACCCAGTGGAAATTCTTGTTGGTGGCAGGAGTGTTGTGAACTCCGACATCACGCAGTTTGTGGAGATCAGGCCAGAAGCGGATCGATTTTTCAGGCTACTGGAGATTCTTGGGGAGTGGTATGAGCAAGGAAAGGTGAGTGTTCATGCTTGTGCATGGATAACCACATCGAGAAGAAGGCCTGGGAAGAGGTCAAAGCCAAAACTGTTCTGTGTAACGCTTGGGTGTGTGGACAGAAGGGTTGGAGCACTGGCCATTGTGAGACCGGCTGATGTCTGAGGTGCCATAATAGAATGGGGTCGTTCATAGCCATGGGCAGCTGTTATGCACTGGAAAAAGGGTGGTGAAGGGTGTTAACTGGTTTAACAGGTTTTCTGCTGTTGATAGATTGACTTGCCAGGAAACATGGATGACACATCATTCCTGTACAGTGCTTTTCAACACAGCGGTCAAATTGTACGTGTATTGACAATGGCAATGTTATGACAGTTGAGAAGAAAATCAAGGATGCCCACACAGAACCACTCCCAGGCACAGGAAACCAAGCCATAACCAGATGCATTACGGAAGGAGTGGATCAGTCAAATAGTATTCACTGCAACACCTCTATTCACGTATCCATTGTACCCATGTACATTTCACTGTAATTTAATGCCTTATTCACCATTTGTTATTTCACACCATAATATTCCGTACGTCATGTAATTATTTATCAACTTCTTCCTAGCCCCCACAATAGTGAGATGCAGCTTTCTGTTACATGGTGGTTGTTGGACAAACAACTGAAGGCACTCACGCTTAGTGGGTATTGTTGGCCATCTATAAAAAATCGCATTGTGCTCAGGTTGCTGATTTGGTGCGCACATGCGCATCTGCAACAAGGGGACACAGTCAGTTTTGACAGTGTCTTCTTGAGGACTCGCAGTACGCGATGTAGGCTCTGTGCCCAAAAAACAGTTGGCAGGGTGCTTGCAGTGTGCAATGCGTATTTCGATGCACATGGCTGTGAGTTTGTGATTGATGCAAGAAGCAGATTTGCATTGCGTTCATGTAATGCATCTCTTGTGCATACTTCAGAAACACATTCAGTTGCACCAAAGACAGTTAGATTGGCACACAGCACTGGTCAATGCGGAAATGGGAAGTGCATGAACTTTGAACTGTGGATGGCACTGCAGATCCTTATCTTCGTAAACTCCCAAGAGAAATGCGACACCCTATTTCGTGACCTGCTCCGCCATGGCTACCCATGCCTCTCCCTCCACGGTGGGAAGGAACAAACCGATCGGGAATCGACGATCGCAGACTTCAAGGGCGACGTGTGCAACCTGCTGGTGGCAACTTCAGTGGCAGCGAGGGGCCTGGACGTGAAGGACCTTGTGCTTGTGAACAACTACGATGTCCCCAACCACCATGAGGACTATGTGCACCGTGTTGGCAGGACGGGACGAGCAGGAGCCAAGGGTACGGCCATCACATTTGTTGGTCCTGAGGAAGACAAATTCGCTCCTGACTTGCTGAAGGCGCTCAGGGACTCTGGGTCACCAATTCCACAGGTGGGGTGTGATGGCTACATTTTTATTGAGTTTGCTTGCACGTGTGCGAATTTCTTGGATAGGACTTGTCGTAAAGCAACAGAACACTGTCCTGGCACCTTGCCAGTGATGAAGTGCATGATTCCACACACAGCAACTGTCCCAAATGTACGTCGCACGTTGTGTTAGTGCCTGTGGCTGATGTTGATGTGTACATTGTCTTGCCTCTCGCCCTTATGGGTGCCTAGCATGTGTCTGATTGTGTTGGACATGGAAAGCACCTGTGGTCAATCGACAGAAATGTCGCATTTCAGTTTTGAGACCTGCGCAAGTCCACTGTACATCTGAACAGTGCTGAGCTGGAGATAGCGAATTGTAGCCACCAGCAACCACAGCCTCCCAGTCCCGTGCCATACCATTCCAAACTATAGAAATTCAGAGGTGCTGGACCACGTTTGAAACTTTCGCTAGCTGTTTTGAGCTGCAGGTTGGCTGTCCACTGTGATACTGTGGATGTTGTCCTTGTCTGCTATTTATCACGCACAGGCACCAACAGATTTCAAGCTGGTTTCTTGCTCCATTGCCTCCCAATTCCACATTTGGTAACAGTAACAGTCATTCCTTGTTGTGGATCGTATAGGATCTGCAGCAGATGGCTGAGTCATTCAACAGCAAGAGGAAGCAGGGGATCGCTCAGGCCCATGGCAGTGGCTATGGTGGTACAGGTTACAAATTCGATGAGAATGAGGAGGACAAGAGGAAGGCAGAAAGAAAGGTGGGGCTCCAAGCATCGGTGGTCTTCCAGGAGAAAGTTACCCAAAATTCCAGCTGAATGTTTAAAATCCCTTTGGCTTCAGACCATGTGAGAATCCTGCCAGGCCATCAAGCGATGCTGAAGCCATGCCATGAACTTTGCACACTCAACACTTGAAAACCCTTGAGCTCCTGTGCATATTGCCATTGGTATGATGAATGACTGAGTGTTCTGGCCAGTGCAGAATTGCAGGGGTGCTTCAATGTGACTCATCGCTTCATGATAAAGGTTCATACCAGCCCTTGCAATCTGAGTTGCTGCATGAGCTGTGTGTTGCTGTGCAATATTGAGCTGTGGTGATTGTTCTGGAGTTAGGTCTACTAAGCAGCATGTGAGGTGTGCTTGCAGGCAGCACGTTGTATTCGTAGCTTTGGAACTGTTGGCAGTGCATCTTGAGAATCTTGTGGAATTCCGTATGTGAAGCAAAGTGTCCTGTGATCAAGGCATCTTAATACCGAAACACTGCAATCTCGTTCTGCGATGGGCTCAATTGCTGTCTGATGAGTGTTGGCATATTCAAATCAATCCTTTCCGGACAGCAATGCTAGGCGGCTGCAGTTGAATTTGGCCAGATGCTTTCAATGCAGATAAGTTGTTCCAGTAGTACAGTCTAGCTTGCTGCTGTTCATAGCAGTATGGTCAAGTTCTCACTTGTATCATGAACACTTGTGCAGGCTGTGGCCAAGGAGTTTGGGCTCACAGCGGAAGAGTCAGAAGAGGAGGACGATGATGACGATCCACGACCTGCTGGCACAAGCCAACAAGAGGTTGTTGCTCAGGCAATCTCCCAGGCTGCGAGCGCAGCTGCTGCCATGGTTGACAATTCCAACGTGGACCCGGTACGTTGAACTTACACCGATTTGGTCAGATGCACTCTTTTGCTAATAATAATGCAGTTTTCCTGGACCACACCCTCTGACATGGGTCCCATCATGTTTTGGCACACATGGGCACAATCTATGGCCATAGGTTCCCCTCATGTTTGGGGGTGAACATCTGGCATCCTAACTGTGTCTTTTAGAGCTGTATTGTATTTGAATCAAAGTGTGCTGTGCTTTTGATAGTTGCATTCTGATTCTTGCAGTCTGTCAATTTTGAGGAGTGGAAGCTGTCTTGCAGCTGATGACTTGCTGTGCTTGTGCAGAATATTCAAAACTTGCCTCAGGTGCAGGCAGCCCACCAGCTGGCCGCAAAGCTCACGCAGCAAGCACAGCCTGGGACTACCGTGGCACCTGCTGCACCAGCAATTAACCTGGCAGCTCTCCAGGCTGCTGCTCAACAACAAGTTGCTGCTGCCAACAACCCGATACTGGCGGCAGCAAAGGCAGCTGCAGGGCAGATTGCAGCCAAGGTGCTGGTCCTCAGCGTCTCTCGATGCTTGTTGGTTTTGTTGATGCTCCATTGCTTCTTGATATTATTGAAGTTGACAGTGTCAACAACACATGTGTCCATGCAATTATCTTGTCGACCACTCCATAATGCACGTACCTGCCCCAAACAGCTGAATGCATTGTCACGAGGGGCACACTGGTGTATCAGTGTTTTGCCCTGAAGCTGTGCTCTTAGCTGTTCACTTTTCCCAGTCCAAAATACTGTTGTGTCAGATGGTGAGCGTGTTGCCCTCACCACTTGCTAATTGCAATGTCCAGGCTGGCCTCCCCAACCTGGCTGTGGCACCCAGTGCAAACGCCACCCCTGCTGCACGTGCCGCTGCCCTTGCACTTCAGATGGCCCAAGAGCATAACCCACAGCCCGAAGCCGAACCCGTCCAGCACTTTGAGGCTGAACTGGACATCAACGACTTTCCCCAGCATGCTCGTTGGAAGGTAAGTTGCAGGGAAGAGGTGTTCTGGTGCAGGTCTCAAGTATTGGAAAGCAGCGCTTTTGGCCGTTTGTGACCCACCAAAAGCAACAAGGGGCACTTTCGTCATCAGCCCTGTGTTCCACGCACTCTTTGTAACTGCGTGACTTGGTGTAGAGAATGGCCAATGGCCTCTTAAGGTAGAGTCATGCCTGGGCTGTGAAATTGTGCAGAGGACCAGGTTGATTTTGTTCGCACGTTGTGCACAGGTGTCACCACATCTGAGAATGTAATGCACTGTTGTTGCTCATGTTTCAATGCATGGAAGAAGCGTCATTTGTGCCAGAGTGGTGTTGAAGATGCCTTGGGGGCATTAAGTTATTTGGCAAGTGCAGCATAACTCAGGGTGCTGTACAAAGCTGTTCAATTTTTTCAGTCAGTGCGGAACACATAGTCGGTGGAGATGTATATGTGGCTCTGATGGACTAGCCATGTCTTGTAGTATGTTTGCTGCCAAATGGGGAACTGTGACTCGACACTTCTCCTGTAAAGTTGTGCACTGCCAGTGGTGGACGTGGGCTCAATATGCATCAAAGATATAACCTTGCTGCAGTGTGCTGTGCTTAACACTGGTACGTTAAACACAGTTGACTGCACTCTGTGGTTCCAGCAGCATGGCTTTGAGTAGGTTGCATTCACTTGTGCTTGAGGGCGCGGGGAGGAAACATTACCTGAGCGAGCTCATGTCCAATGTTGTGTCAGTGGGATGGCTGCACGATTCTGTTGTGGTGCTCTCCTGAAAGTTTTCATGATTTCCAGATCACTCATCGCGAAACTCTGTCACAAGTTACGGAGCTGACTGGAGTGGCGATCATGACGCGTGGGGAGTACTTCAAGCCTGGCACAGCCGTGCCGCCCGACAAGCGCAAGCTGTACCTGCTGATAGAGGGGTCTTCAGAGTCGTCCATTAAGAAGGCCAAGACGGAGTTGAGGAAGATCCTGGCAGAAACCACGGAAAAGGTCATGCGCAGGGATGCACCTACTGGAAAGTACTCAATCATGTGATGGGCGTGTGCCAAGAAGGGGGCTATAGAAAGGAGACACGACTGTGCGATGAAGGTCGTTTAGCGCTTGGAGGGGGAGGAATGGGCTCAACCATGCTTTGTTGCATTTCTACATTCCTTTTAAAACGGTTTTGGATGCGAGAGGCGTCCACTGGGACTTCTCTGGCGTGAAGAACTGCTTGCTGGCGACGACTTGGCGCGGAAGATCGTCAACAAAATGGACGTTCAAGCCGCCCTAACCGTGTCAGCACGTCTGCGTCGCTCACGAAAATTGTCCTGTAGGTTCATATAATCCGGTCAAGCGTGTCTCCCTACGTCCCAAATCCTTTCGTCTCGAAGGCGCCGCTTTTTTGGCCCTCGCCGGTCCCATTCTCGTCCGCCTGCGCTGACGGCACCCGTCGTCAGCACGCGAGCCGCCAGGCCAGCAATCCCAAAGAGCGTCGTCGACGAGTCGTCACGCCCCCTCCCTGCCAAAGCCGTCCCGGCCCCGCCCGCCGCGCCCACAGCCCCCTTCCCGGCCGCGCCAGGACGCCACCCGCCCGATCGACAGGGGACGCCTCGGATCGGCGGAGCGGGGCAGCTCGGCGGCATCCCGCGCCCCTTCCATGCACCAGATGGGCCCCGCGCTGGACGCGGCGGCGACCGGGCCGGGGACCCTGAACGGCGCCTCCCCCAGGGCGCCGGGGCCCAACGACGCCGGGGCGCACAGCAACCTGTACATCAAGAACATCCCGCAGGAGGTAGACGAGCAGACGCTGCAGGCCATCTTCCAGCCCTTCGGGCCGATCGAGTGCTGCCGCGTGCAGCGCAACCCGAGGAACACCACGGGCCTCACCTTCGGCTTCGTCAAGTTCCAGTCCGTGGACCAGGCGCTGAGCGCCATCGCGGGGCTCAACGGCGCCACGGTGGCCAACTCGGTGCTGGAGGTGCGCCTGGCGGACGCCGACCCGGCCGAGAAGGCGGCTACCGGTCACACGCCGAGCGACAACCTGTACGTGCGCAACCTGCCCGCGCACTGGCGCGATGCCGACCTGAGGGCCCTGTTCGCGGCGCACGGCACCGTGGCCGACTGCCGCATCCTGCCCAACCAGGAGCACCACCGCGGCCTGCAGGCGCTGGTGCGCATGGCCTGCGTGGAGGAGGCTGCCCGCGCGATCGCGGCGCTCAACGGCACGCCGCCGGGCGGGGGCGCGGAGATCCTGCTGGTGCGCTACGCGGACACGGCGGAGGAAAAGGCGCGGCGCAAGGCCAAGCACGAAAACTCGCAGAACAACCGCTACGCGCCCTACCACGCCAAGAGCCTCAAAATGGCCCGGGGGCCGGCCCCGCCGACGGCCGTGGCCAACGGCGCCTACCCGGCGGCCGTGCTGCCGGCCGTGCCCCAGGCGGTGGCCCAGGCGCCCTACTGCGCCTACCCGCCCGTGGGGTCCGCCCAAGATCCCGCGATCCCCCCGCAGGCGCCTGCATACCCCGGCTACCCGCCGCCGCCGGCAGGCCACGCCTGCGGAGCCCCCGACCCGACCGCTGCTGCGTACTACGGCGCCGCTTACGCCGCCCCCGCCCCCCAGGCGCCCTCAAGCGTGTACGTGAAGAACCTGCCCCACGACGCGGACAAGCTCTTCCTGTACGAGAAGTTCGCGCCCTTCGGATCCATCACCAGCGTGAAGGCCATGCTGGACGAGGGCGGGCGGTGCAAGGGCGTGGGATTTGTCAACTTTGCGGACGGCACCGGCGCGCTGGCCGCGGTGCAGGGCCTGCACGGCCAGCAGTGCGGGGAGAAGGCGCTGCACGTGAGCCTGCAGACGCACAGGGGCAGCCGCGGCAGCGGCTGACGCCAAGACACTAACTGCAAGACACCATGGTGAGGGCGGGCGCTGGACGGGCCCCAAGGACCTTACCCGATAATCTGCGCGGGAAGCTAAGGGGGAAGGGAGGACGCGCGCCGCCCGCCCGGGCAACGACGCGGACAAAGTCTTATAATCTGCGATAGATAGTCTGTGTCGGGCTGCCCTGCTGCGCGCCTGCGGTCGAGGAATCCGGCGGGCGCGGAGTGGTGCGAGCCGCCAAGGAAAAGTGGCCATTTATTGTCACGCGCACGGGGATCGGATTCGAGCAGCACATATTCCATTCAAACGTGCAGTTTCCAACCCCGTGCGGTAGCGTGGGAGGCTCTGTGGTATGTCATGAGTGGCTTCGGAGGCGGGCCCGGCACACGCAAACCACCAATGTGCTAATCTGACCAAGCAGCCATTCAATGTAATCTTTGGGGAAGTCCTCATCTGCGGTACGATCCATACAGCGACAATTCAACCGGGTAACGTTCCACGCAATCCAGAGCTCATCCTAGATATGAACCTGCGAGATCAAAACGCAGAGGTTGTGGAGCTGTGTGCCAATTGTCTGACTGTCGGACACCCAAGTTGTTTGGCGATGCCCTGCGGTCAAAAAGCGTTCATAGTCTCATCGTCTTCTTCAATGAACATAGGATGTCCAGTTTAAGATCGCAACTGTAATTGCCTTCAAAGCTTGTGCCTTTTACCATCGTGACTCTCAGCCTCAGAATACTATATCCAAGTAAGATTGGGCAACTGCAAGGCAGCAGATGCGCAACGCCAGAAGTCACTGCCATATACATAGGCGCGGCGCACTAAATGTGGATTTGGTTCACTGCATCGCGAAGAACAGAAGCAGGGCAGCAAACGCTGGTATCAAAATGAGTTGAGGTGAGGGAGACCGGAAGGTTGCTTTTCCCCCTTCGTGCTCTGCACAGCAGCAGTGTCAACGCGACTGATGCATTCTCCCCTCGGTGATTGGCGCCGACGGATGCAAGAACGGCTTCCTGGACCGTTCACACCTTCAGCGTAGTCGAACGAAGAAATATGCAGACAGCTATCAATCTTAATCTTGCACAATCCTCTTCGCATCGACGCGAAGACAACAATACACAGTAATAAGAGGCTTGGAAGGAAGCCATAAGGAATGCTGAGAACTCATGCAATGGTGGCGGAGAATGGTGAATTTGAATCATCACCTTGACAAAAGTGATAAGAGCGTTCGCGGACTTTGAGAACACAATGACGCGACGATGACCGTCGATAATCAAACATTATGCTCGTCTACTGGATGCAATGGCGTTGCGTACGCAGCATGCCAGAAGTTTACTATTCATCGCTTGGCACATAATGCCTCACCTTCAGGATACAGGAGCATCTGCGTGTGTCTTTGCATACGATGAGTTCAGTTGACGCTAATGATGCACATCGATCATTGCAAATCGTTGATTGCAGTAACTGAGCAGGGAGGCACGGCGGTGGCCTTTCAAATGAATGTTGAGATTGCCACATGTTACGAGCGATGTAACACAATAATCAAGGCCAGAGTAGGAAAAGATAATGGCGGATTCCGGTTTTGGCACTGCATATGCGAACAATGCATGTCAGAGAACAAGTGGCTGCGGTAGTGCTACGATCATTGGGAGTTGTGACGTCGAAACGCTGCAGCGTTTTAGCGCACATAAACTATTTCATCTAGCATAATTGTCAGATCCTGCTCTGGGGACATGTAAAAATGCGGGAAGCCACAATATGACACCTCCCAATTGACCAACTTCAGATCTGCATTCCAGGCGAGGCCGTCGGAAAATCCACACCGGCAGGTGTTCAACAAGCCGCACTGTCGTATAACCCAACATCGGATATCCGTGGTTTCTTGTGCTTGATCATGTGGTCTTTTGTACCTCTATGGGGTCATTTCAATTTTGGGTGGAACGTTGGTTTCATCAGCACAGCACCTTGTTTCGAGCGGTGCTACTGCCCTTTATAGCGCCAATGTAGCAGCACGGGTGGAGTAGCAGCGGATACATGATGCCTTGCAATGCTGTCAGTTTGCCGTTGAGTGGATGGTCTTGCAACGCTACGAACACCAGTGGTGTGAAAAGATGCCTGCGGCCAGAGAATATTATATGCGTCTCGCAGTAGCCGCCAGTGCACATTAAAGCAAGGGAACGCTCCTCTGACGTCCAGCAGTTGACAGCATGATTGAACACTGGGGGTAGGCATTAGATCCAAATTGCCCGTGGGGATCAATCAAGTTTTGATTGACCCATAACATTCTCCACAGCAAGTCAAATTTGAGGATTGAGCTCAATTTAAAGCGTAATTTTGGAACTGCTTGTTCAATAAAGTACAATCAAATGTGACTAAAATATGATGCGCGTGCTGCAAAAATTTTGCGAATATTGAAGTTCCTTCCTAAGGAAGGTGCTACGGGCATTGAATCAGCAGTATATCGTTTGTATAATGCAAGCGCATCAGTTGTGACATGCGTTTGGGAGCCAGCGTGATCTGTTCTTATTTATTTGATTGCTTGTTTTGGAAATGTTGCGAGCAATCATGGACATAAAAGTCGGCTCTTGTCAATGTGAGTCGTAATATTCAAACATGCAATCGTCTGAATTGCCTCCAAGAGCGCTTGCTGTCGGAATGCATGGGGCCTAGCGCACGTATCGTGTTTCACGTCGCACTTTGAATTTCTCTCAGTGGGGAGCTGGGGGGGCAACTTGTAGCGCGGACTGCAACACACCAGAGGAAAACGTTTAAGGTGCGCTGTATTTCACCCTGCTAGCATATACCATTGTCTTATTGGCATATTCAGAATCAGAAAGAATATCTAAACTGAGGACAAATTCACCAACCCCTGTGATAAGTATTCCATTTCCACATCGTTGCCACTTAAAGGTGCACGTCAGTATGAACTACAGCTTTTCAATTCTCGTTCCGAGAGGCCGACATCTCGGCACTGCAATCGGTGCAAAGATGCCAAAAATTCACATGAAATATGCGAGCACTGACGCCACATATTGCTACAGGTGGTCAAATAGAAGGAGCCACCAAGCCCAATCCTGCATATGGACTTCTGGAGCCAAGATCGAGAACAGCTCCGACGCTCCAATGTAGCATGTGGTATGATGGAATTACTTCACACCAGTTTGGGCGAGATTCACATTGGCCTTCTAGAATCAATGACGGGCGTAGTACGCAGGGGAAGGATACACATGGGATTGAGGAATAACGAATTACTGATCATGGACCCAACGATTAGGGAAATCACCCACCTAGTAAGGCCAAAAAACCTGCACCCAGTTTGGGCGGGTAGCTACAGGTATAGCAAGCCCTAAAAATTGTCTGCCAGAAGGCGCCACATCAAATATCTTCAGCTCGTGGTGGGATTGTCAAACAAAGACGAGCCACGATATCAGTGCCACTGAACTCATCAATATTCCTAATGTGGTTCTAGATAGTATCTAACAATTTTTGCAATGGAAATCATGACATCGTCGTTTATTCACAGGGCCCACATATTTAGCTTGCGTGGGTGTACTACCTTAGCTAGGGCGGTATAGTTATTTTCGATTTTGTTACCTGCTAGTGGAATGGGATGTTGTATTCTCTCTTCGGAACTAAATCAATTCACCAAGCTGAGCAGCTCACATTATTTAAGACACAATGTAGTGGGAATGCCGGAAAGTCGCGTGGCGCACTGTCCAATATGGACCGCAATTCAGGCATAGCCTGCAAAACTTCACCAACATTTACACAGAATGATAGGCATGTCACAGACGGATCAGCAACGACATGTAGACTGAGTGAACACAAATGACTTGAGCAGAGAATATATCTATGACACCCCCGACCAATGCACCGATCTAACATGCAGTGTACTGCTGTCTGAGGGGCTGTGCGCTGCAGGAGTTCTCGAACGGTTGGGCCGCACACTGGCAGCTCTCTGGGGGGCGCAGAACACAGCGAGGAGGCACAGACGCGTGGCCTGAGATTGCAGCACGACCAACTGACAATGGTGTTGGAAAATTCGAGCAGTGGAGTTGATCGGTTGGGTTGGGCAAGCAGAACCACGGCGCTGCGGCAAGCCAATGACCTTAAGCCATGGCGACATGGATCCAAAATTGACGCTTGACTGTGCCACTCAGATCGTCGCGTAAATGCATGGCTCACGCAGCTGCACACTTCGCCGCCAACAGCCGATCAGCGATAGCCCCAGCTGGGGCGTGCGCGTTCGATGAGTGCGCTCATGGGGACATGTGCAGCATCCGCTAGGCGGTGACGCGAAGTCCTGGCTGTTTGTATGTGCGCAATTACTTTGCAAGCAGCGCGGCTGAGGTGATAATGACAATTTGACGGGGTAATAGCATGAACCCCATTGTTTCAGAACTATGCATGCGCACGTGGATGCTGCGTCATGGGCATACGATCGCAATTTGCTGCACTGGAACGCCCGACAAGCGGCCGTAGAGAGGCAGTGCAAGCTATGCCATCATGTGAAAGGGGAGCCTCATGTAGAGACGTGGCCGACCGCTATGGTAATATGAGGCCGTAGGCAGAAGAGTAGGTCCAACAACGAGTTCTGTCAGCCAGTCATGATCTGATTAGATCAACAGCGTCAGCAGATTGGTTAAATAGGAGATGACTGGCGCGTGGAGGAGAGGCAAATAGGCACAACGTTGCTTCGGTAGTGGAATGCGATGTTTGGGGAAGGCACTATGGGAACACACTCCGCTTAGCGTTGATTTGACACTAAGGGCGGAGGTTTCCAAAGTTTGGATTCCACGCCTGTCACAATGGAAGTATCATCATGCCACGAACTCGACGTCATCATGCATGTGAGATGAAAACAGCCCCAAACAGCCGCCGATGGCCGCGAAACAAGCCATGACTTGCTCCAAAACCTCCCTCAAGTTTTCAGGGGCCCCAAATACTCCAGCGGACAGTCTTTGGGGCTGTCTTTATCCCCTGCCTTAGCTTCCAACATCCTAATG